AGGTGAGTGTTGCTAGGAGAGTGTTTCAAGAGAAGGTTGCAAGAGGTGTATCAGGGAGAAGGTTGCAAGGAGCGTGTTTCAGAGATTTCACGGGAGAGTGTATCCCAGGAGAGTGTTTCAAGGAGAGTGTATCAGGGAGAGTGTTCAGGGAGAGTGTTCAAGGGCGGGTGTTTCACGGGGAGTGTATCAGGGAGAGTGTTTGAGAGAGTGTATCAGGGAGAATGTTTCAAGGGAGGTGTTTCAAGGGAGAGTGTTCAAGGAGAGTGTTTCAGGGCGGGTGTTTCACGGGAGAGTGTATCAAGGAGAGTGTTTCAAGGAGAGTGTCAAGGAGAGTGTTTCAGGAGAGTGTATCAGGAGAGTGTTTCAAGGAGAGTTACCAAAGGAGAGTGTTTTAAGGAGAGTGTTTCACGGAGAGTGTTTCAAGGGAGAGTGTTTCAAGGAGAGTTTACCAAGAGTGTTTCAAGAGAGTGTTCCAAAGGAGAGTTTACAAGGAGAGTGTTTCAAGGAGAGTTTACCAAGGAGAGTACTGACAGACGAGAATGACAGGTGACGGTAATGGACTGATTCAAGAAGCTTCGGTATCAATCCACTGGTGTTTAATAGTTAGTCTTCTTCATATAGTGATTATATTCGGCTCTTGTACCACCATTATGTAAGTTAACCATCAATAGGGTGGGCTGGACACTAACCACGTCATTTAATAGTAAGTAACTTTTCAATGATGTATTTCTAGGGCCCTGGAGATGAGGCATTCTAGCTTATTTTACCCTATAGTGATCACTAACGCAAATAACTCCCCAGGCAGCGTTAAGGTGTTTATTAATCACGTGAAATAAACTGCGGACCTATTGCCTTCTGACCATTGCCCCTTACCCAAATTATTTCATCCTGTTCCATTTTTCTCCCAAGCTTGGTGGTCTGAGACTGGGGTGCCTATTCTTCAGGTAATCCTTATTTTAGTATCCATAAGTATAACCATTTCCTGGGAATTTGTATATCCTAGAAAAAAAAAAATCCATAACCTTAACAATTTGTGACATTTTCATTAATAAAACCGACTATTGTATTTCCATGGTAAAAAAAAAAATCACGGAATAAACTAAAAAAATATCTAGAACTCTTGTCTTTAATTTATTTATTTATTTCGGTGTGTATTATTGGGGGTATTTATCAAGGGCACTGTAATGCTGAGACCTGTGTAAATGCAATTGTATCTACCTGTAATTTCATCTCTTATCTGCACCTCAGCTTTACCTGTACTTGCAGCTTTATCTGTACCTGTACCGGCAACTGTGTCTCCTCTTCCAGTGGACTCTCACCCTCCTGAGTTAATTAAAACGAGACGAATTGAAATTCAACACGCCAGTTTACACCCGACGGTTTAACGTAAACTATCCCAGACCATCACCAACGACCACTTCTCCAGTGTACAAAGGTTCGTATATGAGAAGTACACCCTGGCTGGTGATATGGGGTCTAACTACCTCCACTTGTTATACACTACGACACAGATATAAGAACCCGTCTAAATGGTTCCCTTACCTTCGATACTCTACTAAACTATAGGTAATGTACAGGTAAACTAAGAGTGCCCATATACAGGTGAGGGAAGATTTAAACACTGGCACAAGTATAGATAAATATGTGTTATAGTGAACGTCCAGGTAACAGTACAGGTGTTTTACGCAACAGGTGCCGTTACAGATGTTAAGTACAGATACATTAACCATTAAAAGTACAGTAATGCATTTATAAAATTTTGACTTTAAAACACGGCCAAAGTACCCAGATACACATGTTGCTTCTCCTCCTTCACACACCGCTCTTCCTTACACTCTACAGGTCATTCAATCACTTAATTAAAATGTTTCGCTCCTACCCCTGAGGCTCTTTCAAGAGTCTAACTGGAAAAGACACCGCGGCCTCTCCTCCTCGTTATTTTATTTCAAGTGATTTTTTTTGTAAATTATGCAACTTCTTTTTGATTACCAGTATATCCGTTTAATTATATATTTTTTTAAGGCGGGGATTTTCCTTTGACCAACTGATGGAATGTTTTTTTATTATTATTACTTAAAAAATTAAAGTACAAGATTTTTTTAATTCTGGCGTCATCCTCCAAGAAAGATTATTGTTACCTCAAAACGGAACCTTGGAGCACCACTAATTTCTTCTTTATGTGCATATAAGAAAGACATTAACACCTCAATGACAAACACAACACCATCGGCCCCCCTCACTACAACTTCTATTTCAGTCTGACAGTTGTAATAAATTATATTCGTCCATAATTTGGCCATAACTCACAGTACAGGTATTAACACAGATTAATGTTAATAAAAGAAAAAAAAAATTATTGTTGAGCACACGGAGGAAATTATAACTAAAAATGCAAATACATTAACAAGTTTTCTTTTTTGTTAAATTGACTGACTCCTGGTGCGGTGTTTGGTCTTGTTGAGGTAAATAAATCTTTCAGTCTCACAGCTCCCCGGGGTTTCCTGATGGAGTTGACACACACACACACACACACACACACACACACACACACACACACACACACACACACACACACACACACACACACACACACACACACCACTAAAAACTATGTAATAAATATATATATATATAGACCAATATATGAATGGAGCGAATCTATACAAAGATTCTTAACAATACCATGAACACTTTATATACATATTTCCATAACTTCATAAACACTCCCCGGCTGACTGTATATTCATCTACCTATATCTGAACTTATTTTTCTATCTTAAACTTATTTTCCTGATGGAGGGAGGAAGGGAAGGTGTCCTGATCCTCTGATTGTTATCATTCAACAGGTGGAGGGTGACCCGTGCCCGTGGCCATATGTTACGCCAACACGAGAAACTACACAACTTATTGGTTAGTATACAAGAGGGAGCCTAGTCTCCTTCGGGCCTGACACAGTGCTATATAGAGCCCCCATTCTGTCCCAGTGTCGTGTGAGTCCGAGGTGATAGTGGGGAGTATTCAGTCGTTACTCCGTTTTTTTTTTGCTTGTCCGGGCGATATATCCTGCAGTTTTAACCCCTACAGCACTATAGCCCTCGGGTATTTTATTCTGGATAACGCCACACGATTTTATTCAGCTGAGAAGAAGCCCTCGCCCTAAGAGTTAAGCTGGATAGTTGTAATTTGGACACAATACTGACAGAGTACTATGAGAGAGAAATGAAAGTGTCTCTTTGGGGGGGCGATATATGAAGTAGGATCACTTTTTATATTCGAGTTGTAATTTTTTCTTTAATCAAACACTTTGACGAATGGAAGCTGGTGACTTGTATAATCCACCCATTCTTTTTTTTTTTCGGGTGAGCTTGTCCTCTCGCGTCCAGTGCTAGTTCAGGTGGAAACTGGAATACCAGGAAGCCTACCAGGTCTGAGAGAGTCTTACTGAACATACCCCTACTGGCATTGCCCGGGAAGGTGTGGTGAGAGCAGTAAACTACTGCTGTCCATGAGACACTGGGTCACACTTTATGATGTAAGAAATCAAAAGATCTCCGGAAAGAAGCAAACTCTGGGACTGGTAATGACAGTTGGAGACGATGGCACCATGATAAGGCAATACGAAGGCAGTTACAGTAATAGGCAGTTACCTTAAAACAGCATCAGACCACCGTACCTGTAAGAGAAACACGTTGATGGTAAAAACAGTTATATCCCTGTGAGTGGAGCATGAGGTGTGTTGTCATAACTCAACCATCACAACACAGCCTTTATACACAACCACAAACAGCTGTTCCTCTCACCGTTATACACGCCATCAACAACACCTTTTCAGTTTAATGTAATTATTTCCTATAAAAATCCCAGTTGTGGCTCAATTTTATGGACTAACTTTTACGTCCTGGGATAAAGTTATGTAAACTGTTATATCTGTATCCCTTCACCGCAATAGTTCATTCTAACGTTGTAAAAACAAATTACCGTCATTACTGGAAGGTAAAGAGTAGGGCCATAAACGTGCCCAACACTCTCAACCAACCATTAACCATATAAAAAATGTTTTAATCATCTCACTTCAATTAAAACATTAAAAAATTCTAATATAAAAAACGTAATCGAGACTTCATTTTATAAATACAAAAATATCGCTGTACATAATTGGTAACATTTACAGTCGGTCAACAAACAAACATGAGTCTCAGTCTCTTTAATAACTGCCACACACTTGTTTTACTGTATAATAAAAATACTAAATTACGGTTGGCTCAGACTGCATCCCCCCCCCTCCCCCTCCCGTCCCTACTGTACCTCTTCTATGGCAAGACAATTATTAACATTCATAAGTCTAACCATGAAGAGACGAATTGTGTGTGTGTGTGTGTGTGTGTGTGTTACTCACTATAACACAAACAAGTCATAAGGTCTCATCACCTTCTAAACACTCGCTCACTTGGCGCTGAGTACAATAACTGGGCTTAGTATTTAATGGTCTTGCCGAAGGACCAATTCCTAAGATGACCGTCTTCTTAATTTCAATTTAGGTAAGCCATTTGTTATGTGTTAATGCGTTCGTGAGACTTGCTAGACTTGAGGTCACTTAAACAGTATCTTTAAACTTGTGTGTTAGATAATATGACACAAGGAGCGAAGGATTTTGACAACCCTGCAGAGATAAAAGGGGCCGCAGTGTTCTTGTGAAATTCATTTGACCCATTCAAAGACAGTACTTTTTGATTGTGTGTACAGCGGCAGAGGGTCTGGTCTGGTCTGGTCTGCTGACACCTTGATTTTTATTATTTCTTTGTTTTTAAAATTTAGTACCCCCCCCCACATTACAATTAATATATAAACTAGTAATTTTCGTTATTTTTCATTTCCTGAGGTAACAAACTTCTCCGGTAGTTACTGTGTTGGAGTGAGTTAACAGGGGAAAAGGTGTATCCCCGACAGAAAATGTCAATAAATTTTAAAATGACAAGAGGCAGCAGTACAAGCAGCAAGCAATGCCCCGGCAGTACATCCAACAGTCGCAAGCAAGACCCCCGCAGTACGTCCAAGAGTCGCAAGCAAGACCCCGCAGTACGTCCAACAGTCGCAAGCAAGACCCCGCAGTACGTCCAACAGTCGCAAACAAGACCCCGCAGTACGTCCAACAGTCGCAAGCAAGACCCGGCAGTACGTCCAACAGTCGCAAGCAAGACCCGGCAGTACGTCCAACAGTCGCAAGCAAGACCCCGCAGTACGTCCACAGTCGCAAGCAAGACCCCGCAGTACGTCCAAGAGTCGCAAGCAAGGCCCCGCAGTACGCCCAAGAGTCGCAAACAAGACCCCGCAGTACGTCCAAGAGTCGAAGCAAGACCCCGCAGTACGTCCAAGAGTCGCAAGCAAGGCCCCGCAGACGTCCAACAGTCGCAAAACAAGACCCGGCAGTACGTCCAAGAGTCGCAAGAAGACCCCGCAGTACGTCCAACAGTCGCAAGCAAGACCCGCAGTACGTCCAACAGTCGCAAACAAGACCCCGCAGTACGTCCAAGAGTCAAGCAAGACCCGCAGTACGTCCAACAGTCGCAGCAAGACCCCGCAGTACGTCCAAGAGTCGCAAAACAAGACCCGCAGGTACGTCCAAGAGTCGCAAGCAAGACCCCGCAGTACGTCCAACAGTCGCAAACAAGACCCCGCAGTACGTCCAACAGTCGCAAGCAAGACCCCGCAGTACGTCCAACAGTCGCAAGCAAGACCCGCAGTACATCCAACAGTCGCAAGCAAGACCCCGCAGTATGTCCAAGAGTCGTAAGTAAGACCCCGCAGTACGGCCCAACAGTCGCAAAGTAAAACCCCGCAGGTACCAACAGTCGCGAAGCAAGACCCCACAGTACGCCCAACAGTCGCAAGTAAGACCCTGCAAAATCCACCCCCACACTAAAACTGAAATGGATCCACTAAGTCTACTAAGAGTTATCGAGCTGTGAAGCCACCGCATCCGTATCGAAAGGAAAGCTTGCAGACTATGTTAGTGTTAAACTGTTAAGTCAACATACAGGTAATGTATGTTTATATGCCAAGGTCAACAAAATAAGGTGTTTATAAGTGCTGTTATCAACAAAACATAAGCTTACAAGTGCCATAATCAACAAAAGACATGTTTATAAGTGCCAAGGTCAACAAAGACATGTTTGGCGTAAGTGCCAAGGACAACAAAGACATGTTTATAAGTGGCTAAGGTCAACAAAGACATAAGTTTATAAGGCTAAGGTCAACAAAGACATGTTTATAAGTGCCAAGGTCAACAAAGACATGTTTATAAGTGCCAAGGTCAACAAAGACATGTTTATATGCCAAGGTCAACAAAAGACATGTTTATAGTTCCAAGGTCAACAAAGACATGCTTTATAAGTGCTAAGGTCAACAAAGACATAAGCGAGTAAGTTCCAAGGTCAACAAAGATGCTTATAAGTGCTAAGGTCAACAAAGACATAAGTGTTTATAAGTGCCATATCAACAAACATGTTTATATGCTAAGGACAACAAAGACATGTTTATAAGTGCTAAGGACAACAAAGACATGTTTATAAGTGCCAAGGTCAACAAAAGACATGTTTATAAGTGCCAAGGTCAACAAAGACATGTTTATAAGTGCCAAGGTCAACAAAGACATGTTTACAAGTGCTGGAAGGTCAACAAAGACATGGTTTATAAGGCTAAGGTCAACAAAAGACATGTCAGAGTAAGTGCCAAGGTCAACAAAGACATGCTTACAAGTGCCAAGGTCAACAAAAGACATGTTTATAAGTGCCAAGGACAACAAAGACATGTTTATATGCTAAGGACAACAAAGACATGTTTATAAGTGCCAAGGACAACAAAGACATGTTTATAAGTGCCAAGGTCAACAAAGACATGTTTATATGCCAAGGACAACAAAGACATGTTTATAAGTGCCAAGGACAACAAAGACATGCCGAGGCGCTAAGGTCAACAAAAAACATGTTTATATGCCAAGGTCAACAAAGACATGTTTATAAGTGCCAAGGTCAACAAAGACATGTTTATAAGTGCTAAGGTCAACAAAGACATAAGCCATAAGTGCCAAGGTCAACAAAGACATGTTTTATATGCCAAGGACAACAAAGACATATGTTTATAAGTGCCAAGGTCAACAAACATGTTTACAAGTGCCAAGGTCAACAAAGACATGTTTATAAGTGCCAAGGTCAACAAAGACATGCTTACAAGTGCCAAGGTCAACAAAAGACATGTTTAAGTGCCAATCAACAAAGACATGTTTATAAGTGCTAAGATCAACAAAGACATGTTTATAAGTGCCAAGGGACAACAAAGACATGTTTATAAGTGCCAAGGTCAACAAAGACATGTTTATAAGTGCCAAGGACAACAAAGACATGTTTATAAGTGCCAAGGACAACAAAGACATGTTTATAGCGCTTAAAGGTCAACAAAGACATTGCTTTATAAGTGCCAAGGTCAACAAAGACATAAGGTTTATAAGTGCCAAGGTCAACAAAGACATGTTTACAAGTGCCAAGGTCAACAAAGACATGTTTATAAGTGCCATATCAACAAAGACATGTTTATAAGTGCCAAGGACAACAAAGACATGTTTATAAGTGCCAAGGACAACAAAAGACATGTTTATATGCTAAGGACAACAAAGACATGTTTATAAGTGCCAAGGTCAACAAAGACATGTTTAGGCGCTAAGGACAACAGCATTATGTTTATAAGTGCTAAGTGACAACAAAGACATACGAGTAAGTGCTTAAGGTCAACAAAAGACATGTTTATAAGTGCCATATCAACAAAGACATGTTTACAAGTGCCAAGGTCAATAAAGACATGTTTATAAGTGCCATGTGACAACAAAGACATGTTTATAAGTGCCAAGGACAACAAAGACATGTTTATAAGTGCCAAGGTCAACAGCATGTGCTTTGCTATGCCAAGGACAACAAAGACATGTTTATATTAAGGTCAACAAAGACATGTTTTATATGCTAAGGTCAACAAAGACATGTTTATAAGTGCCAAGGTCAACAAAGCACATGTTTTACAAGTGCCAAGGACAACAAAGACAAGCGAGGTGCTAAGGACAACAAAGACATGTTTATAAGTGCTTAAGGTCAACAAAGACATGTTTATAAGTGCCAAGGTCAACAAAGACATGTTTATATGCTAAGGTCAACAAAGACATGTTTATAAGTGCCAAGGTCAACAAAGACATGTTTATATGCCAAGGTCAACAAAGACATGTTTATAAGTGCCAAGGGTCAACAAAGACATGTTTATAAGTGCTAAGGTCAACAAAGACATGTTTACAAGTGCCAAGGTCAACAAAGACATGTTTATAAGGCTAAGGTCAACAAAGACATAAGTTTATAAGTGCCAAGGTCAACAAAGACATGTTTATAAGTGCTAAGGTCAACAAAAGACATAAGCTTACAAGTGCCAAGGACAAACAAAGACATGTTTATAGTGCCAAGGTCAACAAAGACATGTTTATAAGTGCTAAGGTCAACAAAGACATGTTTACAAGTGCCAAGGTCAACAAAGACATGTTTATAAGTGCTAAGGTCAACAAAGACATGTTTACAAGTGCTATGTCAACAAAGACATGTTTATAAGTGCTAAGGTCAACAAAGACATGCTTTATAAGTGCCAGGGTCAACAAGTCTGGAAGATGTTAATATCAATTCCATGTATGAAGACAAAAAATCACATAAAAACATAAGCGTAAACAAGCAAAAACAAACAGACACACAAGCAAACACAATAACAGGCCCTACACACACACACACACACACACACACACACACACACACACACACCTGCCTGCCACTGTGAACAAGGAAGACTCACACTAGCTGCTGTCTCTGTTATCCAGCATCGATAGAATTGACTGAGTTTGGTGCTTATCCTAAGGAGCGGTAATAACACATCTCTTATTATATTACTGGCGTTTATTTAATAATACCAGATTACCCCCCCCAGAGAGAGAGAGAGAGAGAGAGAGAGAGAGAGAGAGAGAGAGAGAGAGAGAGAGAGAGAGAGAGAGAGAGTGTTCCCATTCTGGCCAGCGGTGTTTGTTATCTCCCTATTGGACACACACACACACACACACACACACACACACACACACACACACACACACACACACACACACACACACACACACACACCTAGTGACCTCGAGTTCCAGGACCTAATTACCTTGACCCAGGCCTCACCACCTCAGTCAACACCACTGGCACTGTTTGACTGAATTAGAGCTATGATCGAAGGTTCTGTGTCATTACTAGTCCACAGAAGTGAGGAGACTCCTACCATGTCCTGGGATCTATTATCTCTCCTGGCTTGTTTCATTATTCCTCTTCCTGGCTTGTTCATTGTCTTCCTGGCTTTCATTGCTTGTTTCACTGTCTTCCTGGCTTGCCCACTGTCATTCTGTCATGCCCAAAGTCATTCTGTCATGCCCAAAGTCATTCTGGTGTACTCACATTTATTCATACGTGCCTACGATCATTCATTCTTTGCTTGTCCATTGTCAATCATCCTGGGTTATAATCATTCTGCCTTGCATACTTATTTATTCTGGTCTACCCACTGCCATTCTACCATGCCAACCGTCAGTCATTCTAATATCTCCACTGTTATTCTGGATCACCCAATGTTATTCCGGCTCAGACACAAACTCCATATAAGACATTTTCCCTAACTCCTAACTCTAAAATAGCTACGAGGAGGCTGGGACATCGAGGGGCCAGTGAGGGTGGAAGAGGGGGGACGGAGTCAAGTCAGTGAGGCTGCCGGAGGAGGATGAGTCCAAAGTACATTAAAATTTACACATTTACCAGCATTTATATATAGTATATGTCTGAATTTTTACGAACACCACTGGCCATTAAAAAACTATTTACTTATCGAAGCGATTTCAGGATTGTTTACAACTCTTTTACCGGAAGATTCAGACGATGGTTTCCTGCTTGAAGAGCTGTTTCTGTGTGCTTTAAGGTGCACTTTACGGGTACTATATTAGACTGGTTATTTCAGGATATAATAAAGATTTACTTGAACACGAACGATGTGAAATGACTCAGCATTACTCTCGTACACCAGGAAATGCTCTGAGGCTCTCGGCTTCCAAAATGATGAACGAAGTTTTACTAAACCTCACCTAACACAAAAAAAACTAAGAAACCAAACCCAATAACTCTCATATTATGATGTGTTAGGTTTGATTTCTTATGTTCTTTTGGATTTTATTCATTTTATTGGGGTTTTTTTTGGAGGGGGGGGGGGGTAGGTTAGGTTTGGTAAAAATTTATTCCTCCACAAATTTTGGAATGTCCTTAAAAAAACAAAAAAGTTTTCTTCTACTGAAATTTCACAATGTTGCTTGTTAACCCCGCGCACCTCTTCTAAAGTATTACCAGGTAACTTTTTAAAGTCTTCGGTAATAGTTAAGTTAGGATGACAAATGATTCTTCTTTTGTATTATTTAATTGTGAATCAGTTTTTTCTATGGTATTTCTTGTGGGATACATTCAAGTCATGCATGGCACAGAAACCTGCCATACACACACTTTACGTTGTTGTAACACTGGGTTACCTCAGCTTTCATTCGTTTATGTTTTATTGGGACAACAGCCATATTTTTTCTCTATACAAACATTCTGCAGTCCACAGTCACCAATCTCCCAGAATGATCTAAATATTGAATCCACACCAGTTCTTGTTCCCTTATTGAAACAGCCTTCAGCACAAGGTGGGCCAAAGGTTCCTA